CTTCCTTGTCCAGGTGATAGATCTCTTGATTCAATTTTGGATTTGGAGATTTGGCCAATAAATTGGATTGAATCTCTGCCGAATCAAATCAGGGACTGAAGCTTCACATGGCCCTAATAATCAGCTGAGCACAGGGTCCCAGCAGATACTAGAGCAGGGGTGGGCAATTATATCGGTTGGAGGGCCGCTTACTGAGTTTTGGAAAGCCACCGAGGGCTGCATGACAGGCAGCCAGAAGCAGATATATATTAATTTTCTAAATGTTTTAGGGGCCCCATGGGCCAGATAGAATGGCCTGGCAGGCCACATCCGGCCCATGGGCCACGTTTTGCCAACCCCTGTACTAGAGTTTATATGCTATGAATAGTATTGCCTGCCTCAGAACATTTTCCCCTTGGCTCCTTGGTGGAGTTGCTTCTTCTTGGCAATGGTTTCTTTTCTTGACCCCTCAGGGTGTTTTGTGCAAAGGCACCAGGAGCTGCTAAACTACTGTTCCTCAATAACAACATTAACAGAAGCTATGTGGGTTCATCAAGGGGAAAACAGTCTTTTCAAATGTACTTCATGTACTTGAATGGTTTGAAAAGAGGGGTGATGAGTGGTTTAGTTTTATTCCTCAATTATTTATTTAATGCCCAGAAGCATGTGTATTACTTTGATGGTTTGCCTTTGTAAAGGGGTTGAACAGCTATGGTAAATTTTCCTCTCTCTTCCTCGGTAAAGTATATCCAAATGCACACTCATGCATATTAATAGTGTTATCCAGATCGTGGATTAAGGTAAAGCTGAAGAACACCTATGTGTTACATCTACCTTAGCTTGCACCACAGCAGACACAAGCAGAACAACGCTATAATTTATTTTACCATGAAATTAAAGGAATTTACTTTAAGCACATTGTGGTTCAAGAGCATGTCAGTTATCACATGGATCAAACAATTTAATTCCATGCATGAAAGTAGCTTCGTTTACCTTTATAAAATATGGCTATTTTTTGGTCATCTTTAACCCTGTAATGCACATTTTTCAACAGACTGTAGATGCTTACCAATGGATTCTCTGTACTTCAAATAACTGGGTTAATCTTTTCATTTGCAGAAAATCAGATTTTCTTTCACTGTGTGAAGCTTCTGGCTTAGTTGTTTGTAAATTTAAGTAAAAAGCAGCACCTCACAGCATTTACAGATGATGTAGTCTGTTTATACAGAAAGCACCAGGGCTATAATTACGACATGATCTCATTATGCATCAAGGTCAGGATTCTGTGATTCACTCTGTTGTTTAGACATGAAGGGAGTTGATTTTCAGCATGGTGGTGTGCAGCTACTATTATTGTTACATCAATGACTGTAGAAACAAGATTATCATTTGCTTGTTTCAGTTTTTCTAGTTAAGTTAACTCCAGTTAGCACACCATGAAAACAGGCCTGCTAATGTTCACTCTAAAATATTAATTAGGGATGCAAAATATATATTTATGTTGTTATTCAGGTTAAGTATGATATTTTGGGGAAAAAGATACAAAGCAGGCGATTAAGTTACCTACGGATGATAATGCATGAATTGAAGATGCACATAATTTATAAGCACAGACTTACCTCCCACTCTATTTCAAAAAGACTTAGTCTATACCTTCTTTCATGATCATCATCCAGTTTCTAAAATCATCGGGAAGTAGGGCTGGAAGGGACCTCAAGAAGTCATCTAGTCTCAGCCCCCTGTTCAAGGCAGGATCAGGATCGTCCCTGACTAAACCATCCTAGCCAGGCGTCTGTTTAACCTGCTCTTGAAAATTTCCAGGGATGGAGATGCCACAGCTTTGCTGGGCAGCCTGCTCCAATGTGTGACCACATGTATAGTCAGAAAGATCTTCCTAATCTCCAACCTAAATTTCCTCTCTTGAAACCTGAGGCCTTTGCTCCTCTCTCTACATATGTAATTCAGTCTGATAATTCATCTGTATATTTTTCTGTTAATGAACAGAAAAGATGGGATCTCTAACTCGTCTGTCAAAGGAACACCCTCTTATTTAAGAAGTAGATGTATTAAGGCACTTAAGTTGCACCATTGATTTTGATAAAACTAGTTTTATTTAAAATTCGGCATATGCTTAGCTGCTTGCCTAAATTGCAGACTTCACTATATTATTCATAAATAATAAATGACTGATATTCAGCCTTAATATTCCCTTTAATGTCATCCCATTAGTTATAATCCCTCCTATTACCTCACCCTAACAAACCATCCTCTCTCCTTGGTTTTGGGTGTCCCTCAGGTACTTGTAAAAAGTTACCACATCTTCCTTTAGACCTCATTGCTGCCTGTCAATCCAGGTTACTTACACAGGCCCCCTTACTGAGGTATCTGAACATCTCACATAAACCAAATTAATGGGCCAAGGGACACTTGGAGCCCAGCAGCTCCTCCAGAGATGAATATCTTGCTGGGATCATTTGACCCCAGCAGACTTCCTGCCTATAGAAGAGGTGGCTGGACTTGGTGATCTCGCGAGGTCCCTTCCAGCCCCTAATGTCTATGAAGTCTATGAACATAATCATTTTTTCTGGCTTTTCTCTGCATGCCACTCAGTTTGCATCCATCACATTTGTACTGAGCTGCCAAGGAGTATTTTAGGGGTAGTCTCTCCAGAGCCACAGAAAGAAAATGAATATAATCATCCTTCACCACAATGACCTTCCCAATGAGGACACAAAATCATACCAACACTACTGCCACACAGCCCAGAGCAGTACAATAATAATATAATGTACTGGAATTATCTTAACTAGCTTGTTAGGAGAGAAACAGGCAAATCACATGATAGATTTTGGATTGATGAGAAACTAATCAAATGCTGATAAACTATCCTCAGTTCCCAACTTAACGTAACAACTCATGTCTTGGTTGCTTGTTAGCTTTGCTTATGCTTACATTAGTTTACAAAGCATTGAAACATGATCTTTTAAAGACTGATGTTACTTCAATTTTAAATAGCATAAATGTATATAAGGAGCATAGCCTACTACTGCTGGAGCAAGGCTTAATATGAGAACTAATGTGTTGAAATATCAGACACCAACAAACAGAAGAGTTAAGTTAAGAGGGGTGAGGCCAACCCCAGTGCTGACACTTCCTGTGATTTTATCATACTTGATTGCACACTGCCTGGCTGCCTGGTCTGCAAGTAAAAGAACTAGCATTATGCTCAGGTCTCTTTGAGGCATTTGTTCCTCGGCACAGTTTTGTGTTTCAAAGAGCAGCCTTCAGACTGCAGAGACCCAAGCTTCGTGCTTCTCTGTCCACCTGGAAAAAAGGACATGCCTCTTCCTTTATACCCCTAATAAATCAGTGACAGGCAACAGCTCTTAACCATTTGCTGAGTGCCTCTCTCACCACATTCATGTTTTTCTTAAGGTCTCAGGTCCTTTGAGGTAAATAAGTAAGGATCTCAGCTTTTTTCTTAGTTTTTAAATATATTTGTAACCATCTTAGTTGCAGAAAAAATCCTGAAAGCATTTCCTGAGTGCACCTTTCACACTCAGAAATTAGTAGGCAGAAAAGAAAAATGAACAATACTTGACCCCAAATAATTGTAATCTCATGATTTTCAAATTAATCTTGTGATGCTTTTTTTTGTTGTTTTTTTGAGGCTGGTCTCATGATCTTGTTTGAATGTTTGGGGTAGGCAGTATTTTGTGCCTGAGGGAGTAATTTGGAAACATTAAGTAAATTGGATAAAAGTCAAAAAGCAAAATATAAAATGTATGGTAATTAAATTTTGCCATGCTTTATATGCACAAAGGGGCCAGCATATGAAGACATGGGCACTGTAATTTGGGTATTTCTGAGTGCTTGACTTAACCTGCATGGTACCTGAATGGTACTTTGAACACAGGGTTTTTTTCGTATAATATCTTTGATATGAAAAAAGTAAACTGATTCAGCAGG